AATTCTGTCAGATCCACATTCAGGGCTCCATCAAATCTGAGGGAAGCAGTGATGGAAGACACAATCTGGCTAATAAGGCGGTTCAGGTTAGTGTAGGTGGGGCGCTCAATATCGAGGTTTCTACGACAGATGTCATAGATGGCCTCATTGTCTATCATGAAGGCACAATCAGAGTGCTCCAGGGTGGTGTGGGTGGTGAGGATGGAGTTGTAGGGCTCTACTACATCTGTGGAGACCTGGAGGACTGGGTAAATGGAGAATTCAAGCTTGGACTTCTTGCCGTAGTCAATGGAGAGACGTTCCATCAGCAGGAAGGTGAAGCCAGAGCCAATGCCCCTGCCAAAGCTGTGGAAAACCAGGAAGCCCTGCAGACCTGTGCACTGGTCAGCCAATTTCCGAATTTGGTCCAAGATGAGGTCAATGATCTCCTTGCCAATGGTGTAGTGCCTACGGGCATAGTTGTTGGCAGCATCTTCCTTGCCTGTGATGAGCTGCTGAGGGTGGAAGAGCTGGCGGTAGGTACCAGTGCGCACTTCATCAATGACTATGGGTTCCAGGTCTACAAACACTGCCCTAGGCACATATTTGCCAGCACCAATTTCGCTGAAGCAGGTGTTGAAGGAGTCGTCTCTGCCCCCAATGGTCTTGTTACTGGGCATCTGGCCATCGGGCTGGATGCTGTGCTCCAGGCAGTAGAGCTCCCAGCAGGCATTGCCAATCTGGACACTGGCCTGGCCAACGTGGATGGAGATGCACTCACGCATGGTGGCTTCGGGTCAGCGGGCGGAAGCAGCAGGAGCAGACGCCGGGCCGCGGTCACCGTCCTCGACAAGCTAAGAGTCGAGGTGAGTAACGCACTCCACAATCTTAACAGGAGACCTTAACACCCCCTTATCCCCAAAAGATAGGTCAACCAGACAAAAACTTAGCAAAGAAATAACAGAACTGAACAAGAGCTTGAAACAAATGGACTTCCTGGACATAAACAGAGTGTTCCACCCAAACACCGCTGAATACACACTTTTCTCAGCTGCACATGGGTCATTTTCTAAAACACACCAAATAGTGGTCCATAGGTCATGCTTAAATATATGTAAGAAAACAGAAATTATCCCATGCACATTATCTGTCCACAGTACAATGAAACTGGAAATAAATGACAAAAGAAA